TGATGAATAGCATGTGAAACTGATTTGGCACTTCCCCTTTACAAGGAGAACCAGAGTCTAGGCATGAGAACGAGATTCTACTGTAAGCTTGAAATGTGGCCACAATGGTGACTCATTTTTTAATGGCTTTATATGAATCACAGACACTCTGTAAAATGCAATGGGATGTCCCGGGTCTGTTAAAGAGGAGCTGAAAGACTCATAGTGTGTGGCTCTACCTCAGGTTTGCTCCAGTTGAAGCAGTTGTGTTTGAAGTGCTTCACTGCCGCCTTGTAGCACTGATGCTGGGAGAGGTCAGCTCTGTTGTTTAACATGTCATTGGCTTTGATCGTATTGCCGACGACTCTCTCGACCACTTTGCGCATAGTGTTGGCCATCACGTCCCTGATCTACACAGACAAAGGTTCACACACTCTTTAATGGTAAATTGTCATCAAATGGATTTTCAGTGTACTGGCACACTGCCACAAACATTAGAAAGCTTTGTCAGTCTTTACCTTGAGGTGGGCACTGATCTCCATGAGCAGGCCCCGTGCCACACTGATGTCATTGGAGGCCATCATCTTCCTCTTCAGGATGGCCAGAGGAACGTCAGGGCTTGGGGTCAGATCCAGGTTTGTAATTGGTGGCAGGTTCATCGGAGCTGGACTGTCTGCTTTGTGATTACCCTGAAACTGTATAACTTTCATGTGGGCCAAAGTCTGTAGAGAAAGATGTACAAGCGTTAAAATAGAAGGAGGAAACAAACTTTTTTTCCACTCGCATACATGAACACATTCTGCAAGTCATTCCAACTTAAAATGAAACACTACTTCCCCCTCAAATTTCTTTAGTCTAGAACCAACAAGTGCTCATTGAAGCATTTCGTTCAGTTTGCACAGCCTTCTTGCTCTCACCTTGTTTCCGTACTGCTGGACGTGGCTCGTGTTTGTGTGGTTCTTCACAATCTTAAACTGCTGTAGCAATGTTTCTTTTCTCAGATCCTCCTGGATGCACAAAGACAGGAAAAAAAAAAAAAAAAAAAAAAAAAAGTGAACGTGACAAAATGCTTCCAAAATAACAGTCACATGAAGAGTCAGTGAATTTGTTCCGTAAAATAATGTGTGGCAGTTTGACTGTCTCATGGTCAGGTTTCTGTTCTGCTGTTACACACTTATGCAAAGTACTCGGGTCTGGTTAAAGACAAAAGCTCTGCTGCTACGTTTGGAGACGTTTATCACTTCCTTTTCCTGCCAATCTTAGACGTTAACCGTTTCTTTCTTTTTCATTCTCTCAGTGGATTCATGTTTCTGGATTAAATCTACATCTACACCATAATCTGATGTGCACCTCTCCCTGCAGCCTGAAGTCTAAACATTATAAGATGTGTTAAAGCCACCACACAAGATACTCTGAACTTCAGGGTCACAATATAACAGACAACAATTACATTTTTCTTTTTAAAAATATTTTTCAAAAATGAATAAATATTAGAAGCTGTGATTTGGACACAAATGAGGAAGATAATCACACACCACATCAGAGTCCTCCATCCAATTCACGCTGTACCAGTCACCCAGGTAGGTGTCCCGTTTCTCATCATAGTAGCAGGCATAAGAGGACTCCTCAGCGTTGGCTGCTGTGGTGGCATACACTGAAGAATACACAGAGATTCTCATGTTAGGAGACTTTAGTTTTACACTAGGCAGATCTAAAGGTCGCTCGCTAATCTGTTTAACAGCCTCAGAAAAAATTGAAGGTTGTAACTGAAGATCTAAACACAAATTTCAGTAACTGCTTTACACTTGGACTCATCAAAAACAGACATTCATTGAAAACAATTAAGGAAGAATCTTAATCAATGTAATGTGCAGGTCCGGTTCTGTTTATCACTTGTTGTCCGACATAGTAACTGTGCTTAGAGATGAACACAAGCTGGGCTGCTGACCTCAGCATTTAATGGATTCTTACAAAAGACTAAAAGTCAAAAGCAGAAGTCCTCAAACCACGGACCTGACATCTGTCTAGTCAACATAACACGAAGCGTAACGCAAGGCTGATTTTTAAAAAAAATAAAAAAAATTAAAACATGAAAAATAAAAATCACATGATCCCAGTCTGATCCCATCAAAAGCATAGACCAGCATCAGTTACGCTCTCATCACTTGATGCTGGTTCATCATTTTTGTGCTGGAAAGTAATTCTGCTGATAAAGTTCAACTCACCATCAATGTCAGCAGGCAGGTGGTTCATCATTGACCCGGACTCACATGCTTCAATGTAGAACACCATCTATGTGTGTGTGTGTGGACCAAACACAAATGTTATGACCTTACACATCAGCACAGCTACATCAACACTTTATCAACTGAATTTTAGGCTGCGGGACGTGCCCACACTTGTACGGTACATATCAAACATCACATCACCTTTTTGTATTTCTTGTTGTCGTGCATGTATTTAATGGCTGCTTGAAGGTCTTCAACATGGAGCTGCAGACAGAGAGGTGACAAATTTGCATTAACCACAATTATACACTAGTGTTTCTTAGAGCACCGTGATGGCATGCACTGCAAACATAAAAACTGATTTATCAGCAAATTAGGAGATATGTAAGGTCCCAAAACACGGTTAGTTTACTTGGTGAGGATGTCTCCCTGGTTTGACAAGTTAAACACTAACAATGCTGATTGCAATGATAAGGTTAATGTTCATAAATTGTGTTAACCGTTTGTGTTTGACCTCAATGCGGCGACTGCTATCTTTTCATAATATTCCATCTAATAGTGAGATATTTCACTAAATTAAAAAAAAAAATTGAAAAAAAGAACCCAACCCAGACATATCAAAGTGATTGTGAAACAATAAGGCTCTTTGTGAATCTGGTGTAACCTGTCTGTGGTTGTTGCAGTGCCAGGAAGTTAAGAAAAAAACAAAACAAAAAGGTACTCACCTCATCTGCGGGAAATGCCAGAATACCAGGTGCTCCGTGATCAGTGAAGTAAACAAACACATGATCATTGGGTCCACTGCCAGGAAATTGAGAACAAAGTTAACAGGGACAAAAAAAAAAAAAAAAAAAAAAAGTATATAAACCAGATTTATTGTTGTTTGGCCACGTGCTCGTTACTTCCTGTCTTTTTTAGCCACTCACCTCTTCAGCACTTTTCCAGAGCCACCTTTGACTTTTGAGGCATCACCCTTCAGCACTGCCAGGAAGTTTTCTGGGGTAACATCCTGCAATAACAGACACATCAACCCACAAAGTTTGCTTTCAGCAGAGAAGCCTCTTCAAACAATCGTCTGGAAAATATTGAAATCAGTTGATCTTTTATAGAAATGCACTGAAGCACTCACTTCCCCGATGTAGTCTTTAGGAACTCCCTTGTACACATCACTACCATTTGGTCTATTGATCACTATCCCAGGGGTAGGATTCCTGGAAGAAAAACATGACTCAGACACACAGAAGGAAGTGCAAATAGCTGATAGAACACTTTGTGAGATAAAAGGGAAACAGATGGATAACAATGATTCACTCATCTGGTGACAGAGCCACAAAACAATATGACACCACAGATGTTAAAATAAATCAATGAATAACATTTATAGTGAAATCTTATGGTATACATATCTGCGCACGGATACGTACAGTTTGTCTTTCTTTTTTACAATTCTGTAGCTAGGTATTTATTAACCAGATGCTCAATCTGTGATTACAATGGCAGTGATACAAGAGCGTGACACGGATATTATAAAAAAAAAAAAAAAATCCATATTGCATAATGTCTCTCAAACTCTCAAAAAACAAAGCAGACTGACATTCATGGAACATTTTAAGGTGTGGGAACAGTTAACAATAACAGCATTACTCAGCGTGCATCTTGTCTGTCAACTTGAATAAACATGTCTACACATGGGTTATGATCCAAAACAACCAGAAACATAAGGAACATATGTCTCCCATTTATCAGAAAGTTCTATCACAAACTTTACTAAATGTCTGAAATGAACCTGAAAGAATGACTCGATTGACTGCCCGGTAAACTTCAAGCAAGACCAGAGGTGACCGCGCATTCGCCGCTGTCGCACCCTACCTCTGGAATAACCTCCCCCTAGCTATTCGGGCGTCTGATACAATTCAATCTTTTAAATCTCGATTAAAAACTTATTTGTTTAGCCTTGCTTTCCCCGCCTCCTAGAGCCCACACTTTTACTGTACTGGAACTTATCTCTATCACTTTGTTAATGTTTATAATGTTTTCACCTTCAGCATTGTGTGTGGACTTCACTAGTGCCTACTATGCCTGGTGTATTATTGGTTAGTTATGTCACCCGCCTGTTAGTATATTTTATTTGTATTTTGTGCTTTATATTTGTATTTATTATTGCTCTTAACTCATTCTGTGAAGCACTTTGGCATACCTGTGGTTTTTTAAATGTGCTATATAAATAAAATTGTATTGTATTGTATTGTAAGCAAAACACAGTGAAAAGTCTTTGTTGTAAACAGCAGCAAAGTAAATTAAAGTATCTCTAATTAAAGTAACAGCTAACTACATGTGCAAGTCGGCTGGCACTGAAATTTAAGTAGCACAGGCCAACTCTCTCAAATCACTGCTAAAGCTGGGTTTTACATTGCAAGCGCCTTGAGGCGACTTTTGTTGTGATTTGGCGCTATATAAATAAAATTGAATTGAATTGAATCCCACTATGTAACTGCCATTGTGATTCCCGCAACCAACACATCTCCTTACATTACCCCTCCTCTGCCAGTAACATGACTCGAGACTATTTTTATGGAAGCACCTTCCTCATGACTCCTCTCAGCACGACTCATTCACTCAACCCGTTTTTCTGAGCGATGCAGGGCTCTGCAACACAGTGACAGGAGGAATGCCAATGCAGCTCTTTGATCTGATTGGGAAATTCCTGCGAAAAACCTGAAACCCACCACTATCTCCAAAGCTGATGCCAGCAGACTGTTAGTTTTCCATGAGATAGACTAAAGCTGTTCCATCAGAATCAAAAAAGACGAAGACAAAAAAGTAATGACTGACAATACAACTATTTTTATTTTTGAAAAAGTAGTTCCAAGTGTAATTTAATCTTCTGAGCATTTTTAAACATCAAGAATTCATTCATTAAAAAACAAATCCTGTTTTTCAGTGTCTACAATGGTTGCTCTGATTTGTTTGTTTATGTCAGTCAGTCACCAAAGCTGAAGGCCATTTAAGGTCATTTAACAAACAACTGGATTGTCAGCAGTTACTTTTTTGTCTTTGTCTTTTGTGATCCTGATGAAACAGTGTTAGTCGGTCTTATACAGGGAGGAGATTCACAGTTTGACACCATAGAGAGCTGGGGAAAGTCTCCAGCTTTAGGTTCCTAGGAGTCACCATCACAGAGTGCCTTTCCTAAACCAAACTCCTCCAAAAACCTGCTTAACAACTTCTACAGATGCATCCTCACAACCAAGGTGTGTTGTGAAAACAGCACAAAACCATCTCCGACTCATCTTTAGCCTACTCACAGTGCAAAGAGTGAAGGGGAAATCCAAAAAGACTCTGAAGGTGCTTCAAAGCTATCCTCACACAGAGACTTGAAGATTTCTTTCAGGCTTCTTGCTGAACATAGCTGTCAAATAACTTTATAACCCTACTGTGATATATTCTCCTGCTCAATTCCACATGTTTATGCTCCTCTGGAATATATGGATACATTTATACGCTTATGTACAATATTCTTGTATATGCATGTATTCGTATGTATATATACACAAACACAGCAGATACATGTATCAGTATATTTATCTGTTATGTAAATGCAATGCAGCATGTGAGATAGTAAAGCTAGACTTTTGTTATAGATGCATAATGACAGCAGAGACAGCAGAGATTTGAGTCAGATGTAACAGGCCCTACAAACAGCCTTTTCTGGCTTAAGATTTCGTTTTTGTGTGCTATATCTTACTAATAGTTAATAGCCTACTAATGTCAACAGCTACTAAAATTAGGATGAGTTTGTGTCAAACATTTTTAGGAAAGAAGAAGTATGAACAAGCATCTACAACAGAGAAACAAAAGTGCCAACTCACTGTTCATTTTCAGCCAAATCATCGTACATCATGACCACAATCTGCTCGTCGGGGATGCCATTCTTGTGGACAATCTGGTAGGCATGGCAAACATCGGCCTGAGCGAGCAGGAGAGCAAAAGATTCGGAGGTCAGCTCCACATTATCACAGTATGCAGCCTTTTAAGCAGCGGGAGGAGCACTTGGAAAACATGCATTTGGGAGGTAGCTTATCAGAGCTTAAAGCGGTGCTTATCAAAAACCATGAGAGAAAACAAATGAGTCATGCACAGCTCGCACGGTGGTCGCAGTTTCACCTGGTGCCTGTAGTTGTACCAGCCGTTGGAGCCAGCCACAATAAGCACCCAGTGTTTTCCGCCACTGTTTTCCTCTTCCTGGGTGGGAAACCCGATAACGAGTCCGGCTGTCAGGCCAAGCAGGGCGAATAGGACGGACCGACACATCTCCTCGCTTTCTGTGGGATTCCTGGATGGATGACAGTAGGGAAAAATATTCAGATCCTCTTCTAGATGTCAGCTATGTTTACCGAGGTGGCAACAAACACGGAAAACTGAAAAAAATAAAAACACGTAAACGTCTCACCTGATAATTCTGGGAAGCTAACTAGCCATCAGGAGCACAACAAGCTTCGCAAAACATGGACTTTTAAAAAAATACTCGGAGTGAGTTAAAGCTATTAAGACACACCGCTCAGTCCTAGAAGTTTTAAAGGAAGACAAAAACATATTTTATTACCTTTTCTTTGCGTTGTTAGACGAGGACGGGGACAACGAAGCAACTACACGCGAATCCTCAGCGGCACTCCACAGTTATATTTAATGTCGGTGGGCAAAACAGTTGGCATCGTCTTCTACGGGAGCCAATCAGAGTGCTCTGGGGCGGGGCTCACTAGTCATGTGAGTAAGGTAACAGCTCTCCGTCATGTGACACTATTATGTTATAAGGCTATAACACAAGCATAAAGGCATTTATATTTTGGATGTAATTTCAAAACACCATAATCTCCTTGGACATCGGTTTTTGTTATTATTTTTTATTATATTTTAATTTGGCTTTGAGGTAATTTTGTGTTTCCTTTTGAATGATCACCTCTACTTCTTTGTCCTATTTTCTCTCTGTGGTTACTATCGCTTTCACTTCATTTTAATCACCCTTTTATATACTACAGCAAAACCATAAATATAAAATTCAATCCACGTGCTGATCACAAGTTTGATTTTATGCTTACTGACACAATTATGACTGCTCAGCTTCTGCTGAAAAGTGGGAATTATACCCCATATTTTCCATATATGGGGTATAATGTTAGACTCAGGCTTGTTGCAGCCCGTCATTAAGGTTGGAAGAGCAGGTAGGTGGGCTTGTTTTCACAGTTAAAGCTGTGCCCTTAACATTATCAAATTAGTGAAATCACCGCTCTTTAACATCAGAGATCCAAATGAAGAAGAAAAAAGAAACTTTCTGAAAGAATGTTTTAAAGAAGTCTGAGATTTTAACTCATACAATTCTATCAAGCTTCAAATATTTCCTATGACCACCTTTGTTCTTCAACAACCAGAGCTCTCTTATTGTAATTTCTTTTAAGTAGTATTCAGGAATAGTTATCCAGGCAACTTGAATATGGAACGCCAGGACTGACATAATGAATTAATTCAAAGCTCTTCTTTTGATGTTGCTGCCTAGATGATACCACACTGCTCCAGTAATGTTAAGGTTTGGACTCTAAGGATGTCAGTGTATGACATCGCTCCACAGCACCTGTTCCCACTGATTTTCAGTTTAGTTCTTGTTTAATTTGGCATACCACAGCCTTTTCTGCCTTTGCCGAATGGCTCCTTGACAGCCATCCTTCTATTGACGAGGCTTCAGTGAACTGGATAAACAGAAGCGCTGTCTCTCAGGGCCTGTGTTAGATCTTTGCTGG